TAAATACCACCTTCATTATGGCATTCCTCTACTCACAGACCTCCCTAGATACACTATACCACCAACACAGAAACTGGCAACTTTTCTTAACAACTTTCCTAATTCTGTAATTTTAATCTTTGAATTTCATTTTTAAAAGATCTTATTTATTTGAGCAAGAGAGAGAATGACAGAGAGTACGAGCGGGGGGAGGGACAGAAGGAGAAGCAGACTCTTCCACCAAGCAGGGAGCCTGATACAGGACTTGATCCCAGGCTCCTGGGATCATGACTAGAGTCAAAGACAGATTCTTAACCAACTAAGCCACCCAGGCGCCCTTATATCTTTCAGTTTCATAAAAGAATCTAAAATGTTTATCCCAGATGAATAAAAAAATAAATTGTCCAAAAAATTTAGAAATTACAAAGATATCAACTAAAGTCACTTTCACTTGACTCATAGGAGCACTTTTTTTTTTTCAAGATTTTATTTATTTATTTGACAGAGAGAGAGAGAACACAAGTAGGCAAAGAGGCAGGTGGGTGGGTGTGGGAAGCAGGCTCCCTGGTGAGCAGAGAGCCCGACAACGCAGGGCTCAATCCCAGGACCCTGAGATCAGAATCTGAGCCGAAGGCAGAGGCTTAACCCACTGAGCTACCCAGGCGCCCCTCATAGGAGCACTTTAAGGAGGCTTGTCTCCATACACCAAGAGAAAGCCAAGTGGCAAAAGTGAAATTTCTACTGGTATTTCCAGGTGCTACAGTCTGAATGCTTGTGTTCCCCCACATTTCATATTTTGAAATCTTAACCCCTAAGAAGACAGTATTGGGAAGTGAGCCTTTGGGAGGTGAATAGGTCATGAGAGCAGAACTGTATGAATGGGATTAATGCCCTGATGAGAGACCCACCTTTCTGCCATGTGAAGTGACAGCAAAAAGAAAATTGTTTATGAACTAGGAAGCAGCCCTCACCAGACAGTGAATCTGCCAGACCCTTGATCTTGGACTTCCCAGCCTCTGGAACTGTGAGGAATAAATCTCCGTTGTTTGTAAGTTACCCAGTTTATGATATTTTGTTATCGTAACCTGAACAGACTAAGATACTAACACACTGTTTCATTCCATAAGCATGGAAAACACATTGAAGGGAATTGTGTCCTATGAGAGGTGAATCTATAAAAAAGCTGGGCATCAAGTCATAAACCTACCACAGAAAAACAAAATAAAACAGGAAACCCAGCAGAGCACTTTCCTTTTGTATGCCCAGGGGATTGGTGACTTATTCTTTGTGCAAAGTACTGCACATCTTAGAAGCAAATAGTTTAAATAAGGTAGTAATATATTTAAGAGCACCTTTTGAAAGTTACAATCCCTGAGGAAGACAAAAGAATCTTTTCATTGCAAAAAAGAATTCAAACACATCTGTTATAGCAAAGGAGCAAAATGAATCATGGTGTGGGTAGGATGCTGAATTCACAAGAAGCAGCATTTTCTTCAAGCCTGATCCTGGATAAGTAATTTTTATTTTTATTTTTATTTATTTATTTATTTTTGACAGACAGAGATCACAGGCAGAGAGGCAGGCAGAGAGAGAGGGGGAAGCAGGCTCCCTGCTGAGCGGAAAGCCTGATGTGGGGCTCGATCCAAGGACCTTCAGATCATGACCTGAGCTGGATAAGTAATTTTTAAAGTAGAATGCCTTTTTCTTACCACTTGGAATAGTTCTTGGATGAGTTATAAAGTGTTTGTGCTAACTGCACTAGACCACTGGTCATTTCCTATAAACAGAAACAAAATTTCAGCTAACCAAGAATAGTGTGACAAACATTATTTTGACTCTTCCGCTGAGGCTGTAGTTTGAAACCCATAAAAACAGGAAGATACTGAAATCAATTTACCATGATCTGACCATACTCATGAAATCACAACAAGCCCTAAAAGACATATGCTCTGAAGCATATCACAAGTGACCCACTTGCATCGTACTGTATTGTGTATTTTGTCTTCCATTTCAAAAGGCAAAGGACCCATATTTCTAAAAAAAAATCTCAGAAATACACTAATATTAGTTGTACTTAGGGCTAGTACGAATGCAGTAGGAAAAACTATGGCAAAAGCAGATAATTGCACTGACTCAACCAAACTGTTATTTTCTGTTTCAGGAAGAGGCTTTTAAAACAGAAACAGTTTTAAGTTAAACCAACCTACTTTTAGGAGACTGTCCCTTGTAAATTATACCTATTTATACAAATAATTTTACTCCAAAAAATACTTACTGAGGAAATATATATTTAGCGGGGACTTAACATCTTTTTATCAGTGCCATGGTCTTCGAGAAGAACACAGAAGAAATTTAAGCTACATTCTCTGCTCTGCTTCACCCTGTTAATTTTAGTTCTAGAAATAATACTAGAGGTTGTTTAAAAAGGAAAATGTTTTCTTTCCTCGATGAAACATACTTGCAGACATGAATCTTAAACAAAGGTAAAATCCTGGATACTCTATTTTTTATTTACCTGGATGGAAGTGGCCATCTCTGTGTCTAGATAGCACCTACCACCCTAAAATAACTGAATTTTTTTTTCTTCATTAAATAACTGGCTCATTAAATTTGTATCTAGAAAAGGACAGTTTAATTGTCCACTGTCACATCACTGATATTTATTAACTAGGACTACATCTGACAGAAATACATGTCCTATGTGCACCAAGAGAGAGCCCAAGAACAGTCATAGCAGCATTATCTGCAGAAGGTCCAAAGTGCAGACAACCCAGACAGCTAACACAACACAATACTACAAAGCAATGAAAATGACCAAACTGCAGCTACATTCAACCACAGGGATAATAAACGGAAGAAGCAAGACTAAAAAATATATCAAGTATGACTGTATTTATAAAAAGTTGCTAAACATGCAACACTGAACTATTTAGATGTATCTGGTGCATACAGCTGCACACTCAAGTGGTAAAACTATACAGGAAATGATTACCGAAAAATGGAAAGCTAAAGCTTCCTCAGAGAAGAGAGGACAAGTGTGGGGAGTAGGTTGTGACTGCCAAGGAACACACAAGGCTTTTGTCATGTTGGTCAAATTCTTCCACATTGCAGTTTTTTCACCTATGGGTGGCAGTTACAAGGGATGCTTATTCTCACCACCCTTTGCAAACTGTAGATGTTATGTTACCACTTCTTAAAATAAGAGTATTATGCATCACAGTAAAATAGTTCTAAAAACCCAGGGGTTACCACGTTAAATATTAATTACACATGTATGTGTGTATAATATACACACTAAAACCTACTGGTTTCAAGGGGAAAAAAAGCACAGTGATTCTATCCTAGACTTCTCTTGTTCCTGTCCTCTTCTGCTGAGCAAATAACAAAAGAGCGAAGGAACTTAGAAAATGAAAGAGATAGGGTTTAGAGGTACACTAAAGAATACTATGCCTTTACATTAATGTTATTTGAGAATGTAAAAGATTTATGCGCCTTTTGGCTGATGGTGGAATTGCATGTATATTCTTAGTCTCTCCTTTGTCTATTGATATAACCTGCTGATACAACTATGCAAAAGTAGCACCTGAGGAAAAATGAGCATCATTCTGTCCTTATAGTTGTGACACAGAAGCAGCTGTCCTTTGATTCACACCTAATGGCCTGCTCCTAAGTTTCCTGCTTCCACCAGTAATATTGATTCTAATCTTTAGAAAGTCTGCTTCTTTGAAATACAACAACAAAAAAACCGCACCGAACTAATTCAGCCATGTCTGCCTGTAAGTTATTTGACCTGTGTTTGGCCCAAATCAACCTATTTTTTCCTCCATTCTGCTAAATTAGTTGGGTAATAGATTATTATGTTACCTTTTCATCTAGCCTGGAAAAAAAAAATGTGAATCTAAATACTGGTGATACAATGATATCCCCAAAGTTTCCTTCAGCAATGATTGCAATACAAGTCTTGGTTAACAGACTGACATTTTCAAACTCTGATATATCACACAAGAAAGAAAATGGTTGACCAACTGCCCACCTCTATGCTCCAGAATGGATTTCCTAAAGGGCACACAGAAAAATCGATAGGACAACTTTATTCTCCTGCCTGTGACCAGGATACATTCTATAGCTCTTGGGTAGGTCAAAATCAGTTTTACATTTAAGAATACCTGAATCTGATCTGGGCTCTTAGAAGTTAACCGTCATTTTTTCCAAGTCAATCCCACCAAGTAATGTTGTGGTTGGTATAAACAATGCTGAGGGCTATACGGGTCACTCTTGATCTCTACCAAAGGTTTATCGTCAAGCAGATTGTGATCCAAAGCTTGGTAAAATAACCAACAACACTGCTTAAGTCACACGTGGCCAACAGTCTGCCTATTTAATCTAACAATCAGAATTAATGCCTTAAAGGCAAAAGAATTATTTGTCTATCTCCTGGCAAAGACAAACACTGAAGGAAAGTGGGAAACTCTTTTTAGGCTGGTGCATTACTTCCTCCTGAGTTAATACTTCCTCTCATATGAGGAATAAATCCTGCAAGGAGGAAAGGAAAAAGAGCTATAAAGCAATCTTACAATGAAGTTGCATTATTCTACCTAAGCAGTATCTACATTATAGTCCATTATATGGCTCAAAAATAGTATGGGTCAAAGGGTATTTCCCAAATATAACTAAATACTATAAGACCATGATACAACAGAGTTATAAACCATAACTCCTGTTCCCCAACATCACTGTTCTATTTGGAGTGACACTGAATTAGAGTCAGTTCCCCAAAACATCACTCATTTTCAAATATAAATTCTAAGACTTATTTCAAAACCAAATCTCATTATGTTGGGATTCATTACCCCTTGGCTTATATAATACCATGGTTGTCCTCACTTAAAATGAAATAAAAACTGACAGTACAGAATATACCTCTTCCTATGGAGCAGAAGAAAACACGCTCTAGGACAAAATGTAAACATCACACATCAAGAAAGCATCTTAACAGAGGAGGGATAAAAATATAACCTTACATTTGTGAGTAACCGGAATTCAAATTCTGGCCTTCTGATTTCATGATGGTGTGCTTTCAATACAACCCAGGTGTCCTTAGCTTCCTTGATAATATTTTATCCAAAATCTTCCTATGGAAAAAAAAAGTGATTTTAGAAAGTAACTGCAACAGTTCAGTCTTTTGCTTTTAATGACAAACGTGTTCTCATTTATTTTTACCACCTCTCCCAAATGATTCCTTATAGAATAAAATCTGAGAGGGCGCCTGGGTGGCTCAGTCGGTTAAGTATCTGATTCCTGATTTCCGCTCAGGTCATGATATCAGGATGTGAGATCATGTGAGATTGGGGCTTGTGAGATCGAGCCCTGAACTGGGCTCCGTACTGGGTCCCTCTGTCCCTTCCCCACCTCTCTCTCTCTCTTTCCTGCTGTCTAAAAAAATAAAAGTAAAAGCGGAGGGGAAAAACCATGCATTTTCAAAGCAAACTTTTTCTCTGAAGATTTCTCCCTAGCATATGAGGAATTAGAAGATCACAGCCATATGCCTTCTCTTCCCACTGCTCAGCAGCAGTGACCAAGCAGAAAGATAACCAAAGCAAGAATAGGATTTAGAGACTCCAAATAATATTACAGACAATTTTAATTGAACACTAGATCAGAAATTAAGTATAAATGCTTTCTAAATCAAATATGGTTTAAAATTAATTAAATACTTAAGGCAAGAAGCTTACTTGTTAATTCATTAAAGTCAAGATCACACTTATTCAGATAATTTCAACCATCTAGCAGCTTCAACTGCAATTTTATTTTCTTTAATTAATCTCTCTCAAGATACATATAGACATATAGCACAATCGTAATTTTATTGGGTTATAATATCACTTTAAAATTTTATAGGGCAGTGTGGTGATTTTTGTACGATTCGGGATTCTGAGTTTTGATAAAGGATGTCAGTTCACGACTGATGAATAAACAGTTGTTGCTGTATTAAATTAAGCTTCCCTCGGTTTTTGGACAGCCAGTGATTGCTTATATAAATAAGTAATGTGCTGTGTATACACCGAAAATAAAATTTTAAATGGTTATCTTTGGGCCAAACTGGGTCTCTTAAAGCAAAAATAGACAATTCTCAATCAACGCATACCAACTCTGCATTAGACATTTTTAAAGTTGACTAACTCAGAGAAGGAATTCTAAAACAATTACCCAAAGCATGCAAAAATGTCACCCACGTAGACTAGTTTTATTAAACTAACTGCATAAGAAGCTCTGTGTCTGAAAATGGAATAGAGAAATCTGACACACAATACTCATGTTATCAGGAAAAAATTAAAACATATCAAAAATAACTTAAAAAGTTGCAATCAACTATTTCATATCTGTGGTTTCTGATTAGTTGAATGTTGCTTTTCAGTGATTGACCTTCCTCATTCAACATCCTTGCTTAGGTTCAAAGTTGTCAAAACTGACAGAGAACTTGGTTGGACAGTATAGAATCCCCCACCAACAGCTAGGAGAGGAGTCTAGGGAGAAGAAGCCACAGCGGTTTTTTCTTGCAATTATGAAGTAATAGACTTGTCTAGATCAGTGATTTCCAACTTTGTCTGCACATTGGAGTCACCTGGGGAGTCATAACACTATTGATGCCTGTATCCCATCACTAAAAAGTATGATTTAATTGATCTAGGTGTGGCATGAGCTTTGGAAATTTAAAAGATCTCTAGATAATTCTAACATGTAGACAAACTTGGAAAGATAAAATGGCCTATGTTCTTTCATATTCCTATCTTAAAAATTTTTGATGAATTAGGTTCATGACTTTTTTAGCACCATTCCTTTATCAGTCTCATGCCATTTGGGGAGAATGACCAAAGCACAGCTTGTTCTGGAATACTCTCAAAAGGAGAATAAAAGGAAGAATAAGAGGATGAATAAGCTAACTTTCATAAAATGTTTTTTCATGACAATAATTACTAGGGTATGGGTTTTTTTTTTTTTTTTTTAAATCCAAGGCCTAGAAACTTTGTTCACTATCCTAAAGCCAGACAGAAGAATTAGAGAACACTGTCTACAATAATCTGGGGTTTAAATTCATCTGGATTTGTATGATCTAGTCTAGCTTTCCACTTTATCAGATGGGGCACAGGCAGCTGCTAGAACAAGGAAGAGGAATAAGGAATTGGGTCTTACACATGAATAAACCTGTGGAGATACTAAGTTCATTAATGTTCTTGTTGGCAGGAATCAGAATGGCTTAGAGGCAGCCAAGTTGAATTACAGGTTTGATTTACCTAAGAGATACATGTTCTGCGGACATAAGCATTTTTTTTTTTTTTTTTTTTTTGCACCAGCCTCAAGGCAGGCTTGAGATGAAACAAAGTGCAGCCCTTCCTTTCACAGTAAGATTCAGTTGCATTTCCCTGTGGTTTCTCTGTGGGGGTATTTGAGCTGTCTAGATGAGAGAAGAAAGAAAACAGTTTTAAAAGTTCAAAAGTGTCAGTTTATCACTAGCAAATAATGGGCACAACTAAATATCTTTACTCCTCAAAAAAAAAAAAAAAAAAAAGTGCCCACAACACATGAAATACGTGAGTAGACTGAAACAGGAAAGCACATATCACAATGTCAGGAATTCAAAATAACAGCATGTAACTTCATTCTGATACAGGGGTTAGCATGCTTTAGGGAGATTGAGGTACTGCTCCATTGCAATTAAAATAAATGACCAATATGGTCAACTAATATTTGACAAGGAGCCAAGAATACTCAATAGAGAAAAAGACAGTCTTTTCAAGAAATGGTGCTGGGGGGATGCCTGGGTGGCTCAGTGGGTTAAGCCGCTGCCTTCGGCTCAGGTCATGATACTAGGGTCCTGGGATCGAGTCCCGTATTGGGCTCCTTGCTCAGCAGGGAGCCTGTCTCTCTCTCCGCCTCTGCCTGCTTGTGTGCTTTCTCTCTCTCTTTTTCTGACAAATAAATAAATAAAATCTTTAAAAAAAAAAAAAAAAGAAATGGTGCTGGGAAAATTGGATGTTCAGATGTAAAAGAATGAAACTGGACCACTATCATATACCTTACAAAAAGTAACTTAAAATGAATCAAAGATATAAATGTGAGACCCGGAGCAGGGCTGGCTAGGAATTAGTTGAAACTCCTAGAAGTAAACACAGGAGTAAAGCATCTTGACATTGGTTTTGATAATTAATTTTTGAATATGACACCTAAAGCACAAGCAACAAAATAAAAAATAAACAAGTGGGACTACCTCAAATCAAAAAGCTTCTGAAAGGGCAAAGAAACTTTTAATAAAGTGAAGAGACAACCTATGGAATTGGAAAAAATATTTGCAAGCCATCTATTTGATGATGGGTTAATACCCAAAATATAAAAAAAACCTCAAACAACTCAATAGCAAGAAAATCCAATAACCTAATTAAAACATGGGTGAAGGACCTGAACAGGCATTTCTTTCCTTTTAAATGATTTTATTTATTCATTTGAGACAGAGAGAAAGAGATAAGCAGGGGGGAGAGACAGAGGGAGAGGGAGAAGCAGACTCTCCAATGAGCTGGGAGTCCAACATGGGACTTGATCCTAGTACCCAGAGATCACGACCTGAACTGAAGGCAGATCCGAGTCATACACTAAGTGAAATAAGTCAGCCAGAGAAAGACAAATACTGTATGATCTCAACTTGTAGGTGCAATCTAAAAAGAAAAAAAAATGGAAAAAGAGATCAGACTTGTGTTTACTAGATGCAGTGGGTGGGGGAGGGTAAGTGGAGGGAGGAGGTCAAAAGGTACAAACTTCCAGTTATAAGTGAGTACAAGGGATGTAATGTACAACATGATGACTGTAGCTAGTACTGCACTATAAAAAAATAAAAAAGTTGTTGAGAGCAAATCCTGTGAGTTCACATCAGGAGAGAATTTTTAACTTCTTTCTTTTCTTTTAATTATATCTATAGAAGATGGATGTTACCTGAACCTATTGTAATCATTTCACAAAATATGTAAATCTAGCCATCCTGCTCTAAGCCTTGAACTTACACTGTGATATATGCCAATCATTTCTCAGTAAACTGGAAAAAATGATCAGATCATTATAAGGATATGGGGATGTCACCATCCAAACCCTTTCCACTTCAGGACATAATACAATCTGTTGTCAGTTCAAAACTGTAATTGGGCAAACCAAGACATTCCTAACCTCAGTGGGAAGAGGGGCAAAGGAACCTAAGGAGAGGAGTGTGCTGTGAGTGAACTGTAGGTCGTGGACACAAACGGTGAAAAGTAGCTTATACAGAACAATTTTAAAGATTTCTTTGGTTTAGTGAAATAGAAACCTTTCTGTAAGTCCATATAGCTATTCTCAAGATCATTCTTGTCTTAGTGAGGGCTGATTGTACCAAAACACATGGAGACAGGACAGAATCTATGTTCTTGATTATTTCCAAATATGTAAAATCCCCAAGATGTGCTCTTTTGGCAAGTGACATGACAATTTTTTTTTCTTTTTTCTTTTTTTAAATTTCTATTTCTTTTCAGTGTTGGCAATTTGGTTTTCATTTCTAGTGCCAACTGCAACCAGTTGTTTCTTTTGAAGCTTTAAACTTAGGTCCAACACCGAACTGTTCATTTCCTTCTGTCTTCTGCTTTTGCTTCCCCCATATCTGTTGCCAAAGTTAGGCTACCACCCACACAACTGCCAACCCAGAACCCAGGAGTCCTCACGGGCTCCTCCCTTTGCATTTCAGTGCATGCTTCCCAGTCTTACACATTACGTATCCTAGTTAGCAAATTATTCCTCCCCTCTCCTCTTCATCCCTTCCGCCACCACTACAGGTCATGTCATCATCCTAACTGGTTTCCATAACCTTAATTTCGTGTTCTGTCAACACTCCCACTACCCTTCTGGATATATTACTCAATATATAATATATATTACTCAATATTACTCAATATATCCCACTACCCTTCCAGCCCTATTACTCAAATATGAACATACCACCACTCTGCTTATTCTTTTTTTTTAATTTTTAAAATGATTTTATTTATTTATTTGAGAGAGAGAGAGAGAGAGCGTGCGCGAGAGAGTGAGAGCATGAGAGGAGAGAAATCAGTGGGAGAAG